CCTCCCTCCCTCCCTCCCTCCCTCCCTCTCCCAGTACCTGGCCCCCGAGGTCCTGGAGAACAAAGGGCACGGGAAGGGCATCGATTGGTGGAGCTTGGGGACGCTGTTGTACGAGATGATCTGCGGCCTTCCCCCTTTCTACGACCAGAACGTCCAGAAAATGTACAAGAAAATCATGACGGCCCCGCTCAATCCGTCCAAGGTACGTCACTCTCCCGCCCTCTTCCCCTCCCTGCCCTTCCACCTTTCCTCCCTCCCTTTGGTCCTTTTGGATTCCGTAACATGATTCCTGCCCCCCCCTGCACGACGAGTCCGTGTGTACGCCGGTTACCCCGGTCTTCATCTGGCCCTTATCTTTTTCCTTTCCCTCAACCCTCCCTTCCCCCAGCTTCTCTCCGAGGATGCCAAGGCGATCATCCAAGGCCTCTTGGAAAGGAAAGTGGCGCATCGCTTGGGATGTGGACCGGCAGGGGCCGCCGAGATCAAGAATCATCCTTTCTTCGCAGGGCTGGACTGGGACAAGGTAGGCACGCCCGAGAGGGAGGGAAGGCGGGAGGAAGGGAGAGAGAGAGGGAGAAAGGGAGGGAGGCTTAGCGGCGTGTGATGTTTGGCGCCTCCTAACATACGTTGCCTGCTGATCATATTCCTTGTGACCCCTCCTTCTCTTGCAAAGGTGACAAACCGCAAGTACCAGCCTGAATTTGTGCCGCCTCGGGCCCGCAGAAGATCTGTGGACGTGGACAACTTCGACAAGGTAGGGGCGAAGGGAGGCATGGAGGAAGGGAAGGAGGAAGGGGGGGAAGAGGGGCCATTGGAGGGTGTAGCACGAGGGAGGAAAGTATCCCAGAGGCACGAGCTGGGGGGACGGCGTGGGACCAGGCGCACTTGTGTGCATTACCATTTAAACTTATGCACGCCTCTTTCTTCCCTTTTTTTATTCTCTCCATGACCTCGTTCTTTCTTCCTTCTTGCAGGAGTTTACCCAAGAGGTTTGCCAAGACAGCGTCGTGCAGACGATCTTGACTGCTCAGCAGGAGGAGATGGCAAATTTTGAAGGCTTCACCTATGATCCGCGGGGAGCTCGGCTCCGGTAGAAAGGGGTTTAAAAAGAGAAAAGTGGGGGCGAGGGGGTTCATCGTCTCCATTCCTACAACAGAACAGGAGAAAGGGATGCGTAGGCTGAACGGAAGAAGGACTGGAGGATGGAGTGGGCAAAGTCGGATGCAGGGGAGGACGGAAGGAGCGAGAGAGCGCGGTAAAGATTCGACGGAAGCTGACAAATTACCGAGAAGAGGATAAAGGGGACGGGAAAGGTGGGGCTTCAGTGGGATACTTATATGGTGGAGCATGGGCTCGGTTGCTGAGAAAATGGCAGTGGCGACGGAAAAAAGGACACCTTATAGAAAGAGAGCGAGAATAACAGACTGAGGACACAAAAAAAAAATGTCAAAGGGACATGGACAGAGACGTGATGAGAATCATAAAAGGAGAGAGAAAGAGAAAGGAGGAGAAGACAGAAAAGGAAATTCGCTCTGGACCTTAAGTCTGAGAAGGATGTTGTACGATGGAAAAGCCTCTCCCGGATGGCTTATTGGGGCTCAGACCTGACCGCGAGATGACTATACAGTACGAATTAAACACTTGCTTAAATGTAGTGTCTTCTCTTCAGATTAAGGGAGTAAGTGCTGGTTGTACGCATTTCTAGGCCGGTTGTTTTTTTACCATGATAAGGAAACTGGAACGAATCGCATGCCTGCTGGCTATATGAAAGCCAAGCAAGCTTATAGGGGGGAGGGGGGGAAGGACTGCATACGCCAAGAGAGGAATTAGGGAAAGAAATGTTGCACGGCAACAAGGCGTTGGGAGATGGAGGGGTATCAAAAGGGAAAGTCTCGTGCCTTTTATATCGCAGCAAAAGATTTTGAGGATATAGTGGCGTAGGACCATTCAATAGAGCTATCAGAATAGCGTTCGGTTTTTACAATAGGGAATACCTTTCTAGATTTAAATTGCTAGAACGCACTATTGCTTCGAAACTGCTTTACATCGTTGGTGTTCAAGCTACAGCCTCGAGCCGGGCACACACTTTGTTCTGAGGGAATGGATGGAGGGATTCGTTTCTGGAAGTGAGTTGACTTTCGTTATGTCAGAGAAAAATGGCGCCACAAGCGATGCCTGCATCGTCCAAGAAGAGCCTTTCAGTAACAAGGCGCGTCAATGCTTCCGAATAATTGCTACAACGTGCTGAGTAACATCGTTGTAGGCATAAGGCACGTTTAGGATGATTATCGAGATTATCTATACACGAAAAACTTAATTCTGAAAATCTCCTATCAAAAGTTACTTTATGTGGCTGATATGATCAGATTCAATACAAAAGGGGTGAAAATTCCATTCCTTGGTTTTACTAGATCGGTGCGGAAAAATGCAGCTGAGCAACCAGCATAGCATCAGGTTTAAGGACAGGGATTCTTACTTATAGTACACAAGTATTCCCCTCGCCCTTTGAGCGGGAACTCTTGAAGTGTAGCAGCGGTAAAGCATCCGCTCCCTCCCTCTACCATGCATCTCCTACACCGTCGGCCTCGGCGCTGACGAAGGATCTCCACAGCAGTCAGTACCCCCCTCATCCTCGTTAGCTTTCCTCCCCTTTACCCACGGGAGGCAGCACCGCCGGCGCCGAATCCAACGCGGATAATAGAGCCGCAAACACGTCCTCCTCCTCCTCTATCTCCCCAAGTTTCTCCTCCCCTCCCCTTTCCAGCGCCTCAATCGCCGACGCCCCTCCCTCTGCTCCCTCCTCCTCTATCTCTATTACCCTCCCTCCCTCCCTCCCTCCCACTGGCCTCTCAACCCTGGCCGCCCGCAACACGGGATTATCCTCCTCACTCAAGTCCATTTCATTGTACTCGTCTCCGTCCATGACATACAAGCCTTCCTCGTACAACGCCGCCTCTTTCTCGAAATCGATCTCCCCTTCCCACTTCCCGTCACCACCGTCCTTAAATGCAGCCTCGATGTCCACGAAAGAGTAACCCTCGAGCTCCTCTTCCTCCTCCTCTTCCTCCTCCCCTTCCTCTTCCTCTTCCTCCCCCTCCTCCCTTTCCGTCACCTCCTCCCCCAAGACTGCCGTTCGCGCCAAAAATTTCTCCAGAGGCTCCGTTGCCTCCAACTTGCTCCTCTTTGCCTTGGTTTCCGCCAAAAATTCCGCGAACGCTGCCTCTACTCCAGCTTCCTTCTCCCGCACCTCCTCCTCCTGTTCCCCCTCCTCTTCCTCCTCCGCACCTTCACCATACACCTCCTTCACTTCCTCCTGCCGCCGCCTCTTCAACTCCGCGCGTGTCATCGATTCGACTTTGCGCCTAAACCTGGGCCTGATCCCTCCACCCCGGTTCAAAATACTCACGGACGCCGGCACCCCTCCGCCCCGTCCT